ACCCATTAGCCCCCTCTGACTCCACTTTTCTCTTTCCAGCCCATGTAAATACAGTGGTGCTTTATTGAGATAAGTTTATACAAAGCTCCCTATAAAGGCTTATCTTAGTCATGGTATAGGCGAACCGAAAAACTAGCCATTACAGTGCTGGTTATTTAGGAAAACAACAGTAAATTTGCATAAGCATGTTAATTGTTTTGTTTTGTTTTGCCAACTGGCCAGTATGGGGATCCTAATCTTTGACCTTGGTGTTATCAGCACTATGTGATAGGTTGTGAGTTAATGATAGGTCATGTTTGAGGAAGAGCAAACTTAATTGAAAGATGAGGAGATAGCTGAGATGGCTAAGATACCTAAAATATTTTCAAGCGGTATAAAAATTTGAAAATTGATCATCTTTATTATGTCAATTTCACTTAATTTTATGAGTTTCATTTCCCCTGATTTAGTAAGTGTTCTTCCACTTATCAGTTACGGAGAGGGACAGTTTTTATCTACTGAAATTTGGGATCTTTGTTTGCTTATTAGAAATTCAGTACCCAGGAATGGTGAGAAACAGTCAGGAGGTAGACTTTGTGTAAGCACCCCGCTACCCCCAAAAAGGAGGGAGAAAAGTGGTCGGGAGGATAGTGAGTTAGATAATGCCGTTCCTCTACCATCCAGTAATGGTCACTATCAGCCCGGGAAAGCTTGGTTGCTGTCTTTCTGGAGAGTTCCTGATGAGGCAGGAAGAGATAGGGTTACCACTAGTTATTTGAACATATAGGGTGATTTAAATGTGGAGTACCTGCATTTCATAGAATTTTGGAATTTACAACTTGCTTTTTGAGCATTTAAATTTTCTGTTAAGGGCCGGCCCGTGGCTCACTTTGGAGAGTGTGGTGCTGATACCACCAAGGCCACGGGCTCGGATCTCTATATAGGGATGTCCAGTTAGCTCACTTGGGAGAGCCTGGTGCTGACAACACCAAGTCAAGGGTTAAGATCCCGTTACTGGTCATCTTGAAAAAAGAAATTAAGGTTCTTTGTCTAGCTCAGATGCTGAAGTCAAGAATAAAATAAATGAATTCCCCAGCTAAGGAGTTAATGACTTAATGCAAAAATTCTCCTATGAGGTATTAACATTTTATAAGCAAGAACCAGGCAAGGGCAATACAAAACCCCAAGGAATTAATCTTTTTTTTTTTTTTTTCCTTTTTGTCTTTTTTCGTGTCTGGCAACGGATTGCAA